AGGAAAACATTCCACTTTCCTTATACCCAACTTGTGTCTTCCCTGGAAGTCAGCCAGGGTGTGTGTGTGTGTATAAACACAGACAAGTTGTCTAGAGGAATCTGTTGTCAAAGATATTATAACATATCACAAACCCAGCTTGGCTTCTATTGAGCTCCTACAGAGTTTGTTACCAAGCCAAAGAGGTTGAGGGGTAGGAGTTGCATGTAGAATCTGCCAATGTACTCCTCTGAATAACCCACCCCTGCTCTTCTCCTTCCATTGTCATTACTTGGTCATAAAGTTCTTTCATGAAATATAATAGCTTAAATAACACTACAAATATTCTCACCCCACCCTTCTGCCCATTACTAGATCTTCTAGCTGGCTTGCAATACATAAACCCCACAAGGCTGCAGAGCCAGAAACATACGAACCCAGCAGATTTTTAAATTGCCCCTCCCACACATTCTAGAAAGTCAGCAGCAAAAGGGGAGGTTAAAGCTCAAGGGGGAGGGAGTTCCCCAGCTTTGGCCCCTCTACAGAGAAGGCACTCTTATAGGCCCACCCACTGTATTTCAGAGAGTAGGTGCACGCGAAAGATGGACTCTGAAAAGAAATCTGGGGAAGAGAAGGATAGCCTTAACAGACATCCTAATTATTGCAGAGTAGGCAATAATTTATACCTTATAGAAAGCTACAATGTCGGTAGTACAAGAAGAAGAAAAAGCTGCAGCAGAGCCTAGAACTGGAGATCAGTTCTCTCAGTTGTTAATATTCTAGCCCAAATGCTGCCTCTGCCCAAGGACAGTGCCTCCCCCATGCCCAGCTCAGGCTTCCTCAGAACTCCACATTACCCCATTTCAAGCAGTGCTTTATTCCCCCTACACTTCCCTGATTGCTTCCACAGGAAAATGTTATCCTACAGAAGCCTTTCATGCAGCTCTTTGATGACATACATGAACAGAAAGTCAAGTATAAGTACTAAGAACCACTCAACTAAACACACACACACACCTCCCTTACTTCAACAGACTCATCCTAGGCATCTACAAGGACTCTATTTCGAACTCTCATTGTATTGAGGAGTTTTTGTATCTGCTTGGATCCATTCCTCAGAGGAAAACAGAATTGCAGGCATATGATACTGCTGTAGTTCAGCCACATTGTGTCAAACAGGAGACTTCATCCAAAATGTACTTACCACCACCCAAATTCCTTCTAAGCAATGCGTAGGCAGACACTCTGGTCAGACAAATGGTGAATGTTTGCCCACACACTGTTCTCACGCTGACGCACATAATAAAGCTTGATCCCATTTTAGGCCCAGTCTGAAGGGACTACTCACAGCCAACTGACAATTAAAGATACAATTTGCATTACAATCCTAAGCAGTTACACCCATCTAAGGGCTCTGTTTAGGACTGCACTGTTACCCCTCTTGATGGATAATCCACTCAGATCCAGTTGCTTTCAAAAACAGTCTCAAAGGGGGGTAAACATTGAAATGGGAAAACACAGCAGCAGATGTATGGTCCTGGTTAGGGATGGGCACAAACTGGACCATGGACCAATTTTTTCCATAAACTGGGGTCCAGTTCATTGTCCATTTGCCTGGTCTGTGCTCTCATGCTTTTCACAGACCACCCAGGATTTTTGGGGGGTTTGTTTAGTCCACGGGAGCGGTCCATGGAAGTTGACTCAGAAGGCATGCCTTCTAAAGGCATTTAAATGCCTTCTGAGCTCCCTCGCGTTGTGCCGCCATGGCAGCATGATGTGGAAGTGGACTCAGAAGGCATTTAAATGCATTCTGAGTGACTTCCGCATTGCGTCACTGCAGTGGTGGCCGTGGCAGGGCTTGCAAAAGCCATTTAAAGGGATGTGTTCCCTTTAAATGGCCTTTGCAAGCCTCCCCATCACAGACCTCATGAACCATGAACTGGTTCGCAAAATGGAAACGCCTGTGAAAGTTCATGGTTCGTGAAACCCACAAACCATGAACTTCCATTTTTTCGGACCATGCCCATCCCTGGTCCTGTTTAGGAAGCAACCTGTAAAATATATATTTTTTCACAATACTGTATTGTCTTCTTCGTCTTCTTCTAAGGGCAGCAGAGCTCAGTTTTCCTTAATGATACTTTATAGGACCAGTGACTGGCAGCTGTGTGAGAGTATAGTTACTAAGCAGTTTTGTTTAATGTTCCCTGCTCTCTGTATGTATTAAATTAGTCCCTAACTAACAACATAACTTCTATGGGGAAGCAGGTAGATTTGAGACCAAACAACATTAGAAGCTAGTAAGGAAAATACTAGACCTGTGTTCAAATCCCATGGTTCAAACATTATCCTTTAAGAGTCAGTTCTGCAACCACAACACTCGAACTCTGAAAGTCTACAAAAAGAGTTGGGTGTGTGTTACCCTGCTTGTGTTTACGTTCTTTGTTTACACATTGAATGGATATGAGAAAACCCATCACCACCTTTGGCCCAACCCCACTCACCTGCATGCCATTTTGGGTTGCTATGTCAACCTCTAATACTGCCCAACTCCTAGCAGATTTTTTTGTGCCTGCACAGTTGTTGCTGTTAAATCTCAGGAAAGGGGTTAACCCCAAATTAGATTTTATTTTTTTAAAATAAGATTTTTCTGCAGCCCTGGGGACTCCTGAAGTTCACACAACTCTAAATTGTAGTCATGGTGGCCTTGTTGCATGGATTTGCCTATGCACACAGAGGCTAGTCCTTGGCTATTGAAGAGACAAGAGTCTATGTGAAAGTTGTATCACACAGTGTAATAATTGTGACAGCTGCAAGACACTGGGTGAAAATCCATGGAGTTTCAGGTCAAAAGATCAGAACTTTGTTATATATAAGAATATGTCAAGACTTCACAAGACCCAGAAGCTAGAGAAATAGAACCTGGACTGTAGTCCAATCTACCTCACTACCAGCTATCCCAAAAGGACTTTTCAATGCATCACCTGTTGTATTAACTGAAACATTTATATCCTGCCTTTCTCAAGAATGACTCAAGGTATACATGCCAAAAGGTATATTGCAATATAAAACAAAATAAAATAAGCATATGCCAATCTAAAAGCATTTTCAATCATCAAATTCCATTTTATATACGTCAACCTCATCAGTAAGTGCAAATATTGTACTGGCCACCCAATGGCAATGTGAATCTCCTGAATGAACACTCAAAAGCTATTCTGACAGCAATTCTTGAGAGCTGCAGAGCCAATGTACTCTTTCATGAGCCTGGGCTCGCTTCCTCATATACAAGCCCAGATTTCTTCTTAAGGGGAACATTACAGGGGAGGAAAGAGTAAGAGTCCAGTAGCACCTTAAAGACTCACAAAATTTGTGGCAGGCTACGAGCTTTTGTGAGACACTGCTCACTGCTTCAGATACTGGACTCTTACTCTTTTCTACCGCTGCAGACAAACATGCTAGCCATCTTGATCTATTACAGGGGAGGGGTAGCCATGAGCCTTTGAAGTGTAGATTCTCTCTGTAAGTGACTAGAATAGGATTCACAGTAATAAACAGATAAGCAAAGTGATGAAGTCTACTAAGGAAGAAGTAGTCTGAAGTTTAAGGGGAAATTAACAGCTTGTAATTAATTGTTAACTGATATGGGCAATCTTGGGCCAATCACACACTCAGCCCAACCTACCTCACAGAGTTGGGGAAGGAAGAATACTGCATACCACTTTGAGATCCCCGAAGGAAACTAGGGGATAAACATGTACTAAATAGATCAGCCTATTTAATGAAGCTTACCTTTTCAGTATCTCTGGTGATCCATCAAATATTTAGTGGCCACC